AACATACTATTAAAAGGTAATATTGAACTTTTCAGTGTTCTGGCAATGCACAAAGAACTCCAACTTCAGAAATAGACCAATTAATATTAAGTCTGTGAAACTAAAGACTTGGTGTCCTCATTAAAATGACAAAAACCCTCATTTCAGAGAGTGGGAAATACATTTGTAAGTAGGGTCCCCTAGTAACACTATAGGAGATCCCATTTTCTTTTTCTTAGTGACAAGTCCAAACTGAAGAGATTATTATCTGCTCCCACTTGGCTGCACGCACCCATCTCTGGTCATCAGCATGCCCTTTGCCCCAGGAGGGAAGCAGTTTGTCCTCCTCATTTTCTCAGAGGGAAAATATTTTCATATTTAAACTGGAGAATATGCCTCTAACCATTCTACTAGATCTCTGCCCTTTTCTCTTCCATGTTTCTCCACATGACTTGCAGGACATGAGCATAATTACTGGCCTGCAGTACAAGAAGAAACAAAAGGAGGAAGATGAAATATCACTATTTTGTATTAAGCCATGTGGCTTGCTAGAGGACAAACATGCAAACCAAAGCAGAAATAAATAACCGTCCATCTGTAGCAGTCACTTGATTTACAGAGTAACCTCTATGCTATTCAGCCGAACTCCAGCTCGAGATGCTATCCTTGGTACTGACCCAGCAAGCAAATCAAATATTTCTTCCCGTTTGACAGATAGTCAATGTCTCTTTTTCCATACAGTTTTCTATATACAGTCATCTTCACTTTTAGCATCTCCTTTTAGTATTGTGATTATTAGGAACACTGCCTGTCCAGTGACAAGTATCCCAGCCCCTGGGAGAGATGGCAAGGATAGATATTATTTGGAGTGCTGAGAATCCAAGTCTGTGTAACAGCTTTCTCTTCAAAGACACAAATCTGTGTGGTTACAGCAAGAATTAAAATCAGCAATAAAACCAAACATAAAATGAATGTGGCATGCCAAAGGTCTTTTGTAATTTTTTTAAACTAAAATCCAGAGTATCAACTGCCATATCAGGGTAATTGATGGCCATCCACAGAAAACAAATGTGGACACTAAGGACATATCTCAACATTACCAGGAAATATTTCTCACCAGAACCCTTCCTATTACATTGTCATTCTCTGCTTTGGATAGACAATCTGACTACATCAGCCTACCTCAGTACTTGACTGATTTAGGAAGACCCTCAGGCTCAAGGCATCGAATTAAACCCAGCACCTCCCTAGAGGCAGCTTCCTTTTAGGACTAGGGAATGTTTTCACCCTCAGAATATGGTTTTCTTCTATATATTTCATCTTTGTATAACACGACTTCTTTCCATTCATTAGGTAAAGGATGAATCTTGTCTTTGAAGAAAACTCTTCTTCCACTATTTATAGCTAATAATCATGAAGATTTTATTTCCATTACTTACTTTTACTTTCTTCTACCCCAAGTCCCTCCCCATGGGTAGCTGAAAGAATGCACAGCTTTGTCAAATTGCTTTTTAACATGCTTGTATATTTAATAGACAGGTTTGTAATTTTGATCCATTTTGATAATGTCTCGTTTCTGGGCTGTATGCTCTGTTAGGAATCAAAAAAAGAATAAACTACAAATGTTTCCATTAATTTGGAGTGTAAACAATAGAGATTAGTGAAATCTCATTTTTTACCACAATCATAAGCCTGGAACGTGGAAGGTACTCAATACATGTTTGTTGAATGAATGAAAATCCTCTGATTAAATATTTTGAAATAGCTTTTATGATTTCTGACCTTGAAAAATGTGCCATAAATAATTAAATTTAACATAGATTTCCTCATGGGTCTTAGTTTTTTTAATTAATAAACTTTAATTTTTAGATCAGTTTCAGGTTCATAACAAAATTGAACAGGAAGTACAGAGAGTTTCCAAGTACCCCGGTCCCCCCACCACACACAGTCTCCCCTATTGACATCTTGCAACACAGTGGTACATTGTTACGATCAATGAATACATTGTTATCACCCAAAGTCCCTAGTTTACGTTAGAGTTCACTCGATGTTGTATAGTCTCTGGATTTGGACAAATGTTTAAAATGTATGTATCCACCATTGTAATATCATACAGAAGAGTTTCACTGCCCTAAAAATCCTCTGTGGTCTGCCTATCCACCCCTCCCTCCTTTCAACCCCTGACAACCACCGATCTTTTTACTGACTCTATAGTTTTGCCTTTTCCAGAATGTCATATAGTTGGAATCATACTGTATGTAGCCTTTTCAGATTGGCTTCTTTCACGTATCAATATGCATTTACATTTCCTCCAGGTCTTTTCATGGCTTCATAGCTCATTTCTTTTTAGTGCTGAATAATATTCCATTGTCTGAATGTACTACAGTTTAGTTATCCATTCACCTACTGAAGGACATTGCAGTTGTTTCCAAATTTTAGCAATTATGAATAAAGCTGATATAAAATCTGTGTTCATGTTTTTGCGGGGATGTAAGTTTTAAGCTCACTTGGATAAATACCAAGCAGCATGATTGTTGGATTATATGGTAAGAGTATGTTTAGTTTTATAAGAAACTGCCAAACTGTCTTCCAAAGTGGCTGTACCATTTTGCATTCCCACCAGCAATAAAGGAGAGTTCTTGTTTGCGCTACATCCTTGTCAGCACTTGATGGTGTTGTTGTTTTGGATTGTGGCAATTCTAATAAGTGTGTAGTACATTGTTGTTTTAATTGGCAATTTCCTAATGACATATGATGCAGCCAGCCCTAGTGGTCTAGAGATTAAGATTTGGTGCTCTCACTACTGCAGCCCAGGTTCATTTCCTAGTCAGGGAACCACACCACCCGTCTGTCAGTTGTCATACTGTGTGGCTGCGTGTGGCTGAAAGCTATGCCACCAGTATTTCAAACACCAGCACAGTCACCCATGGTGGACAGGTTTCAGTGGAGCTCTTAGAGTAAGACAGACTAGGAAGAAGGAACTGGCCACACATTTCCGAAAAAGTTGGCCATGAAAACCCTACGAATGGCAGCAGGACATTGTCTGATATAGTGCAGAAGGTGAGGGGATGGCTCAAAAAGACCAGGCTGGGTTCCGCTCTGCTGTACACAGGGTCTCTAGAAGTTGGAATTGACTCCACAGCACTAACAACAACAAATGACATATGACATAAGATGATGCTTACTTGCCATTGGTATATCTTTGGTGAGGTATCTGTTCGGGTCTAATTTTTTTGACATTTATCCTGTTTGATGTTGTCTGAGCTTCCTGGATCTGTGATTTGGTGTCTGACGTTAAGTAAGGGAAAATTTCAGGCGTTATTCCTTCACTTATTGCTTCTGTTCCTGTCTCTCTTTCTTCTCCTTCTGATATTCTCATTACACGTATGTTACATCTTTTGTAGTTGTCCCACAGTTCTTGGATATTTGGTTTGGTTTTTTTCAGGCTTTTTTCTCTTTGCTTTTCAGTTTAGGCAGTTTCTATTGTCATATCCTCAAGCTCAGAGATTTTTTCCACATCCATATCCGGTCTATTAATAAGCTCATCAAAAACATTTTTCATTTCTGTTACAGTGTTTTCTATCTCTAGCCTTTCTATTTGATTCTTTCTTAGAATTTCCATGTTTCTCCTTGCATTATCCATCTGTTCTTGTATGTTATCTACTTTTTTCATTGAAGCCCTTAGCATGCTAATCATAGTTGTTTTAAATTCCTGGTCTGATAATTCCAACATTTCTGCTATATCTGACTCTGGTTGTGATCCCTATTCAAACTGTTCTTTTTACCTTTTAGTATGTCTTGTAATTTATTTGTTGAAATCTGGAAATGATGTACTAGGTGAAAGTAACTCCGGTAAATAGGACTTTAATGGTGTGGTGGTCAGGTGTGGGGGGAGGGGAAGAATTCTATAGTCCTATGATTAGGTCTCAGTCTTTTAGTGAGCCTGTGCCTCTGGACTGTGAACTTCACAAGTGCTTCTCAGTTTTTTTCTCCCTTCACATGGGCCAAGATGGCTAGAGGGGACTAGAGTTGGGTATTTCCTTTCCCGAGATCAGTTAGGCTCTGGTAAACCCCAGCAGGTTAGGCTCCTGGTAAAATAGTTCCTTCTGAAGGTAGATGTTGTTAAGAGGAACAGGATGCTCTGGCATATTTCAAAATGGTTCCTCTTTCCTCCCCTTGCTAAAAGCACAAGGGGATTTTTCTCCAGCGTTCTCTGTGAAGACCCACTTGAGCACCTGGATATAAAACTCACAAAAGTATGGGGACCTTATTATGACTGGGTTCCCCTGGACTTTTTACCTCTCAGCCTTGTCCACACTGAGCCTCCAGCAATTTGCCAATTACAGTTTAGGTTTTCCTGCCCTGGCACTGGTTCCTGTGGAGGTTTCTGCTCATGAGTTTCTGGTCTGGTAAGTTGTGATTCTCTCCAGTTGTCGGGACAGCAGTTTGCCCTGTGATCTCACTTCTCTGCTGGATCTAAGAAGAGTTGTCGATTTTTCAGTTTGTTCTGCTTTTGGCTTGTTGTTAGGACAGAGTGGCAACTTCTAAGCTCCTTACATGCTAGACCAGAAACCAGAAGTCTTGTGTCTTAATTTTTACATTTGCCTTTCCTCTTTAGGAACAGACAAGGCTATATTTTTTAAAACAACTGTCAGCAAAATTATTGTGTGGACAGTCGTCAGTTCTAGACAATTAGTCCTGTATTTTATTATTACAAGGCTTTTTACTATTTGTTGCATTGCAAATAAAAATAACCAATGTTCCCTGAAAATATCTTAATTATATTTGGGGTAAAGAACATGAAACCTGATGAGGACTTTCATGGGGTGGAATCCTGTGTTCCTTTACAAAAATGGGTCTGTGTGCTTTTGTGTCCATCTCTTGCTGACATGGCCAATTCAGTTTTTCATTGAGATGTGTTTTATGCATGTCAATTTAAAATACCAAATTTTCGTGACACTAAGGGTAAACCACAAAGGAATCTGGATGTGTGGTTTTACTACTTTATATTTACTGCTTAGCTTTAGTATCACAGACAGAAGCACTGAAGGAAGAAAATGACAGCCTCCGTTGGCAGCTCGATGCCTATCGGAATGAGGTAGAGCTGCTCAAGCAAGAACAAGGCAAAGCCCACAGAGAAGATGACCCAAACAAGGAGCAGCAGCTAAAACTCCTGCAACAAGCCCTTCAAGGAATGCAACAGGTAAAGGCATTTTGGTCTTCTGAGCTTTTTGGAAGGATAGCATTAGCTTTTCACCTGCAAAAGGGTAACCTGCAAGCAACTAGAATAGCAGACCTCTTATTCTTCTTGATATTCTGTTCTTCGGCCTAGCTGAGGAAGGGATTATGTGTTGTGGTTAATGAAATATTCTGGTTAATACAGAGATAGCAATGGATCACTGATTTTCAAAGAATGAGCATTCAGTGAAAAATACTTAACAATAAAACTATTCTAATTTAATCTAATATTTTCTTTATGCTTCAGAAGGCACTTTGGGATCTGGACCTCAGGGTCCTTATGAAGAACCTCAGTTACTTAGATGTGGAAAAGTGCTAGTGATTAAGTATCTAGTTGATATAATGCAGAGTAATACAGCCTTTTAGAAGGAATGACAGGAATCCTACCCTTGATTTGGGTGGAAGCAGGGGTGTTACGGGTTTGTTAAGTATCAATGCTTTGGACACATAATACCAATTTGCTTTTATTTTGTTTTGTTTTCACAGTCATTTATGTGAATGAGTTTACCTGCACATTATTCCAAGTATAAAAAGTAAAGTAAATAAGTGCATCCAACTGTAATTGCATTCAATACAACATTGTGTAATAGATGCTCAATATCTAGAAGTTTTCTATAACCACCACCACAGTGAGCCTACAGTTCAAAAGGTGTCAACATCTGTTCTCGTTATAGTAAGGGAGTAGTACTTCTGAGTAAGGGTACTATCCTCTTCTGTCTTGCCAGACTACCACCCATTTTCCTTACAACTGAAATTTTGCAATAGGTTTTTAATTGTGTGCCTTGGAATTATCTAGGGCAAAGCTTATTGCTGGTTGGAAATCACAAATTGTGAACAGGGAGTCTCTTCTGGCATTAGGAGCCCCATGTTCCTAATTCTGCTACCATTGTCTTCGTGTGTGACAAGCAATGTCACGTTAATATTTCACCTTTCCTGTTAACAAAATGTGTGAAGTAATCCTTACTTTCCTTTTATTGTCACCATGTAGTTTAATTGGAACATGTAAATTACATTAGAGATCTTTCCACCAAAAAATGCATCTCCTCAGCTAGACTTCAAAGAATGTTGACAATGTACATTGTACTGTGTCTTTTAGCCCTTCCAATGGTCTTTTGCAAGCCTCTGAAAAGCAAGACTTTGGAAACGTTTTCTTGTTGTTTTCCCCTCTTACCTAGATTTTGAAACCGTACAGAAGGACAGTTCTGCTATTAAAATGCAATTGAAAGATGATGAACTTTTTTTTTCATTTCATCACTTCAAAGACTTCAGTGAGACAATTAGGTTTCTATCTCCTGAAAAATTGATTTCACTCATTTTGATTACTTTTTATTGGAAAATAGCCTTGTAAACAGTGATAAAATCCCTCTCATCTTATCCCAGAAAGATATATAGTGTAATATGGTGGTTAACAGCATGGGCCGTGGGTTTCACCCAACCTGGGTTTAAATCCCACTTCCGCTACTTGCTATCTGAATGGCCTTAGGCAAACCACTAAACTTCTTTAAGGCTCAGGATTATGAATCATAAGGTTATTGTGAGGTTTAAATGAGATCATGCATATGAAACCCTTTGCACAATGCTTGGCACATGTTAAATGCTAAAAAAATAGTATTTATTATAATCATTAATAATGATAAGTCCAGTTCCTTGCCTACTGATATGGAAACTAACATTTGTGAAATTTGGATTCTTTACTACTTTCCTCACTGAAGTTGAACTTGGCTTGGAAAATGGCTATTTGCAAGAATGCTTTACATTAAGTTCAGTTCTATGTAACAATCAAGATGTTGTCTACACCATATTAACTGCACCTTACCCTTTCCGCCAGCTGGAATAGGAAAGTGAAGTGATTAGATCAGTTAGTTTCTCAGACTCTTTCTAAAATATGAGCAAGTCCAATGGAAGTTCATAAGAGCCAGATGAAATAACTTAAAGTGAAAAGTATCGTGATTTTCCCTTTAGTGTCTCTGCATGGAGAAATGATGTGTGTGCTGGGGGAGAGTGAGGCAGGCCAGCCTAATATCTAACTTCAGCCAGAGTTTTTAAGCGAAGTGTGACTCCTTAAGACTTGATTGTCTTTGGTCTTTCTTGTAGCATCTACTCAAAGTCCAAGAGGAATACAAAAGGAAAGAAGCTGAACTGGAAAAAATCAAAGATGACAAATTACAGGTGGAAAAAATGTTGGAAAATCTTAAAGAAAAGGTACATGAGTCCTAAGTGAACCTTTTTCCTTGCCCCTTTCCCCCCTTTTCAGTGACAATGAGAATGCCCTAGAAGTTACTGCAAGAGAAATCAATGTGGGATGTTTGGCCGATTGGGGATTAAAAGCCCCATCTCCAGGATAATTCTTGAATCAAGGGCTCTGCTTTTACCTGTAAGTCATTGGCATTTCTAAGGGTTCTGGAGAGTATACTTTTCAGGAATAAAAAGTCCATCCCTATTCCTCAGTCTTCTCTCTTGGAGAAGACCAGAGTGTACACCTCATCCCTTCTTCAATGTGTCAAGCAGATAGCAGCCTGGAAAATTCGTGTGACACAAAATGCCTTTAATTAAGCATTTCATTAAAGGAAGAAACACCAGTGCAACTAGAACGTTGACATTTCTTCGCAGACACTCCATCTAGTGTAATAATGAGTAGTTGCAGATGAAATGGCCAAAACCAAAAGGTGGGGAAACCTTGGAAAGCAAACAAGGGGACACATTATTCTAAAGCTAGATAATAGCAACAGGGAAGGCAAGATGGAACTTTGCCTAGTGAGAGCCTACAGCAGTACGAACTACCAGCGAGGACCTCTGAGAGAGTCTCCTAACATCTGGGTGGATTAATGTATCACAACTATGAATCAGGTGCCCAGCCTATTTAAAATGTGTGAAGTGTACTCATGGTGTCTCCCTGTCATACCTCTCTGATCTCCTTTATGTCTGAACATTTATCTGAAGTTATCCTCTAAAAAGGAAGGCCCGTTGACCAGAACTGCCTGATTTTAATGTCTCAGAAGGAAGAGAAGATTAGGAGCTTAGACCAAGAGCCAGAAATCAACAGTGCTACAGTGCCAGAAGTCAGCAGTGCTACAATTCCACAAGAGCTCATGCTCTTTATCTTCAGTGCTCAACTCAGGAAGATGCAATGCGTAAAGGCCCTGGGTGTTTTTGCCAGCATAGTGACTTCCCCCGGAGTGCCATTAAGCACTGGCAACCTTGGTGTAGTTGAAACAAATGATTGAAAGTGTTTTCTGCTGGAGGCCATTTGCAATATGCTTTTAATTCTTCCACTTCATAAAACCAACTGTCTTCCCACTTTTGTGGGTGCTATTAAAGAAACAAGCACAATCCCAGAGAAATTCATTTATCAAGCATTTAATTGAAAAGTGCCAAATCTGCTCTATTTAGCAGGACTTTCCTCATACTATGAGAGCTTCTAAAATGTCCCAGAGCTGCTACATAGCTCTGTTTCGCTTCTTGCATAAAATGGAGTGTGTAGCCAGAAGACTAGATAGATGTGGGTTTGTGCTAATGACATTATGCCTAGAAATCACTCTTCAGGATTGACGTCACAAATTGACTTAAGGGCATTTTTAGTGATTTAATGTAAGCAGTTTTCTGATTTGTAAAGTATTTCATTTAAACAAGCAAGAGGTCAGATGGCATAGGGGAAACTTGCCATGTTGTACTTAAGACTAAGTGTTTCCCGTTCTGAAACTGAATATACCATGAACTGGCAGCTAAAGAGCACAAGGAAAGAGATCCAACTGATAATCAGGAAAATGTGTCAGAATATGTTTTTTCCTGTTATTTTAAACAAAGCTTTTTTCAGAGAAAGTTGTGACAGTTCATTATAAACTGATCTTCTCTGGGAAGCTGATTCGTGACCAAATATTTCAACCTGACACAATTAGGTTAGGAAGCAAAGTACCACCACATTAGACTGCAAAATAATTTCAGGATGAAAGGAAAGCAATAAGTTTTGGTGAGGAGAGATCTTTTTTGTTTTTGTTTGGGTTTCTTGACAGTAAAGCACAGTGTGAGTTATTGTCAGTGTTTTGCAATATAACAATGTGACTTATATTTGTCTTGCTGCAGGAAGAACTAGCTCTTTGAATCTGCTAGTAAAATCCAAGGTGATAAGCATCCCTTCAATATACCTTCTAATTTTTTAAATGCCAACTATAATAAAATTGAAGTCAGGTTTCAGTAAGGCTGCATTTCCATTCAAGATGGCTAAAACCTCTCACATGTCTTCACATCTTAAATCAACCCCAATCTGTTAAACTCTCACACTTAAGATATGGCTTACTGGATCATTTAATGTTTTAAGAGAGTTAGAAGCACATGTGCACCCTGTGGCTTAGAAGTGAGCCAGTAGTTTAAGTCAAACTTGGCATGATGCTTACTGCCTGGATTGGATTCTAAAGGCCGAAGATTGAGTAGATCATCAAGAAAGGTTTCCCTTCTGACTACAGCCAGGAAGCCTGTAAATCCACAAAACAACATGTCTTGGAGCATAGACCATTTGTTTCATTCAGGGGCAGCATCCTGGAAGCTTTGAAGACACCTTTAAGGAAAACAGAAGGTAACCTGTCCCTGCTGAGGGCTTGTGGAAGGGAAGAAGTGACAAAGCATCTGAGTCAGCCATGCTCTGCCCCACAGGAGCATTTCCCCCCCTGCATTTTCTTGTATAATAACAGTGAGATTGAAGCAGTGATCTCTTTTGTTCCTTCTTCTGAAGGTTCTTCCTTCACATTCATAAAACAGAAAAGATGTTCTCAGTATCCAAAGAGAGAAAGAAAGATCCATGAAAGGTCTGGAGGTATTTGTCAGTTTGTTTGCTGGTCATGGATTTCACCTGAATATCTCATATGAAACATACCTGCTATGCTCAGAAAGAGAAAATTTTCAACAACAAAGAAGGTCACTGAGTAATGACATTTTTGGTCGTGGTCATTTCTTGCTATAAAGTCAGGAGAATACTAACTGATGATGTTCTTATCACAGAGAAGAGAGAGAGAGTTGATAGTCAATAAATAGAGGCTCTAACTTTTAGTTCCAAGTTGATTACCTGCCAGTGGATGAGCTACATTGTAGATTTTCCAGTCAGAGATGGGACTTAACCTTTAGCAGAGTCTAGACCTAAAATAAAAGAGAATGGTTTTTTAACAGTGGATGGCCTGGGATGAAATCCAGGCTCTACACTTCCTAGGAATGTGATTTTACGCAATTTACCTAATTTATCTGAGCCTTGCTTTCCTCATCTGTAGCATGGAGAGAATACATACCTAACAGTGCCTGGTACGTAGTAAACAGTAAATGTTTGGTCTGGTTCCCCAGATTACTTGTATAGAGTCAAGAATGGTGAAGGCAGAAAAAAAAGCTGGTGAAGATGAATGCCTTAATTTTTCTGTGTTTTGAAGCCATATAAAGAGGCTATGGATTATGTGTGATGCTTTTGTAATTTATGCTGTTTTCCCTCCCATTCAGTAATCAAAATTGGACAGTATTGCTTTTAGGATGCTGTGTTAAGAAGTTCCTATTGTGTAATTGAAACCAAGTCTGTCACCAAATAAGGTGAACTGACCTGAGAATCATGTTATTTCCACAGGAAAGCTGTGCTTCTAGACTGTGTGCATCAAGCCAGGATAGTGACTACCCTCTGGAGAAGACTCTCAACAGCAGTCCTATCAAATCTGAACGTGAAGCACTGCTAGTGGGTAAGGAAGCTGACACACACACACAATGTAGAGAGGGCCGTGGAGGAGGGAAGGGGTTTACCTAAGATGAATAAGCACACACCAAACATTTATGAAGCATGACAGTGCGAGGACCCAGAGTCCTGAAGATGACAGGGTAAGAACAAGTACAGGTTCAATGAAAATGGTAGCAGCAGCTCCCAGCCCTCTTCAAGCCCTTTGTGGCCACTGCCACATCAAGTGTGTCAGTATAAGAACTATGCTAAGAGAGGATCAGCTGGAGAAACACGTAGGTTTTTTAAATCTCTATGCGAGGATACCTGAGCCCTCCCACTCCCACTCAAGGGATACTGCGGACGCTCTCTGGCAGAGAGCTTTTCCAGATGAGCCTCCGGAGGAAGCATGTGCCTCTCTTAAGTTTTTCCAGGTTCCTGGCAGATGACTCAGGAGGCCGTCTGTGGGGTGTTGGACGCTGGTGGGCTTTGATGAGATCAGTGCTACGATTGCTCTCATTATATAAAAATTCATTCAGAGAGGCAAGATAGCATAAATAGTTAAGGCATTAGACAGACCTCTCTTCCCGTCTTGACCCTACCATTTCCATCCTGAGCTACAGTTCCTCCATCTGCAAAATGGGCATGATAATATTACTCACCTCAAGGGCAACTGCAAATTTTAAATACAATATTTCATCAAAATCGCTTAGCAAAGTGCCCAGCCCATAGTAAGCCCTCCATATATGGAAATCATTTTGCACTTACAGCACTATTCACAAATATTTGTTGACCTCTTATTCTATTTGGAGAATACTGGCAGATTGAGGTCTTAAAATATTCACTCATCTAAAAGGGGCTGGTCTTGGGCCTCAGCAAATAATCCCAACTCCCTTCTTGGAAGCTGAGCCACATAGTAGCCCCATCCCAGTCTCAAAAGTCCTCCACAGTGATTGGGTTCTGCATATTTTAAGATATATCTGCCTCCTTTGGTAATGGATGTTGTACTGAGATTTGACACTTTGATATGTTAATGAGGATGCACAGGGAGATCTGCCATTGAGTCTTCAAGAAAAGTAACAATTTATTTCCATTTTCCAACTCAAAGTTCTTTAACAAATTGGCATGGCAACGGGGAGACCTGTCAGAGAAGAGCCGGGGGTAGGAGGAAGCCTCTGTAAATGGATAGTTCTAGAAACAAAGATTCTTAAGATAAGTGTTGCTTGTTTTTTAAAGAAAGTATTCTTGGGCTGACAGAAAGAAAGGAAAATCTGTTTTTTAAATTGGTTCTTTGGGTGTGAACCCACAAAAGCTGCCTAGTGTTTTGAAACCTATGGAGTTATTTCTTGGCATTTGACAGCCTTTCTTGGCCACAGCATCTAGAATTCCTTTGAACATGGACTGTCTTCTTCAGAATTTAAGTTTCTCAGCTTGAGTCAGTGTTTAGAAATTCAATTTACCTAGTCATTTAAGAACACTGTCATAAGTGGCAGCATGCATTTTGAACAGATTTTGAACCCTACCATCAGTTCCTTTTGGATCCTCCAACCCAGCCCCTTGCCATCTAATATTTCGACAATTTTCACAAAGAACTGATTTGAACTTCAAGCTACAATCTAAACTTGATATGTTTTTAGTTGCTTAAAAGGATAGACAAGTTGTGATTTATAAACCAAATCAAATTTAGTTTGTATTTCTTAGCAGTTTTCAGCAAATTCAATTCTAGGTATATTTGATGTCCCTTTGATTTTATGAAGGGAGGTGAATTCAAAAAATTTAAAGAAATAAATAGTAGACTTCTGAACAATTTATATTCCACCCGTTGCCAGAGAAAGAAATATTAGAACAATTAACCTGATGGCCAGAACAGTCAAGGCAGTAGGTATAGCTGTCAATCACCCCAGAGTTATGTTGAGTAAAAATCATGCACATTCCTGGAGGCTGTAAACTGCTGTAAGAATTCTGTTGCTTCAAGAAATTCAGAGCTCTTAGCACAAACAGAACGCTAGTGACTACTTGAGTGAATGAAATGTTTGGTTTTTCTTTACAGAGCTACTCAGAGAGTAAAACCCAAATATAATCAGCAGATTCTCTTGTGAGAGGCTCGAGGTTAATCAGGCAAAGTGCATGATTTGTACTTTTGCCACAACAGCGAGACGTTATTAACGCATAAGAGGCTAAAGTCCAATTAAAGAATGTGCAGAAGAGCTGCAAGACCCAGCACAATCTAAATTCATTGTAAAATTCTAAATTCATGGTAAAACGTAGAATTCAAATTGTCTTTGGCCAGCATGAATGATGGCACTGACTCCTCAGATGCCACCTTTTCTACATGTGATCTAGTGTGGTAAGAGGCAGTATGTGTAGTGGTTAAGAGCAACTGCCTGGGTTTAAATACCAGCTCTGCCACTTACCAGCTGTGTGACCTTGGGCAAGTTGCTTAAACTTTCTGTGCCTCAGTGTTCTCACCTGTGAAATGGGTATGGTAATACCTACCTCACAGGATTGTTGTAAAGATTAAATGAGTAACATATATGTCAACTCAGAGTAGTGCTCAGTGTGTAGTATGTTGTACGTGCGAGTTAGCTCTTGCCATACACTGTCACGTGGCATCATAAAGAATACAATGCTCAAGTGTAACCTCCATGGTATTGTCTCTCTAGGGATTATCTCCACATTCCTTCATGTCCACCCATTTGGAGCAAGCATTGAATACATTTGTTCCTACTTGCACCGTCTAGATAATAAGGTATGTGGGGGCCTGAAATTGGTGTGCAAGGGGATGTAGGGTTCTTTGTGAACAGGTGACCTTACTCTCTTCAAGCATAAATAAGTCATTAGTAATCACTCTAAGGAAATTTCCCTTGCCTATTCTCTCACTGTGATTCAGTGTAGAGCTTCTGTCTTGCAAGTAAGATGACCGTCTGTCCCTATTTGCCTGAGACTGAGGGGTTTCCTGGGACTTGGGACTTCCAATGCTAAAACTGAGGAAGTCCCAGGCAAACCTGAATGAGTTGGCCACCCTACTTCCAAGATCCATCTTAGAAGAATTTTCCTCCTTTCTCTTAATTTACATATAAGCTGCAGATTAACCATATTTCTCACCAGTCAAACTTTTGCCCTGGGTCTTTAGCCATTAGCAAATGTTAGATTTCAAAATTGTAAGTCTTCCTCCAGCCCCTTCCCCAGCCATCCTCATCACCACTGCCATTATCTGTAATGAAACAATCAAGGCAGGGGTGAAAAAAGATGGAACTATAAGTCTATAACACAGACTGAATATTTGCTCACAGCTGATCTCGTGGGCCAGTTCCTTCCCTGGATCCTATCCTGTGGGGGAACTCACAGAGCAATCAGGAGCAAGAGGAAGTGCTAGATCCCTAGAAAGTCAAGGATGTCTCATAGAGGCAGGAGGGGACTCTTGACCCCTCAGAAGAAATAACCTCATGATACATATTTTCAGAAGCAGGTTCAGTTAAACCTGCTCATGGGTTGTACTCACTCTTGCACAAAATCTGGGCCTTTTGAGCAATGCCATTGAAATGCAGATTCCTGACAGTTGAATGTCCTACATGTTAAACCATTGAAGCATATGTCCTCTTAACAACAGCACTGGCCCATTTTGGAATCCAACTGTGGTGATACATCCTCCTCATGGCGTGGGTTCTAGTTCTAGCTAGAACTCCCCCTCATTTCCCTCTAGGAAGTGATGCTATTCTGCAATTAAGTAGCCCATTTGGCAGTGAAGGGAGGGATGGAATGAGCGCCAGGACCAAGTGGTTGGTTGAAGTGGTAAGAAATTGAACTATATGTCAGTAAAAATGATCTGGTTCTTTTTTTAAATTACAAAAATAATGCATACGTATTGTCTTTAAAATATAAGCAATATAGAAATATAGTAAAGGGAAAGTGAAAGTTACCCACCATCCCACCCCTCAAGGATAACCACTGTTAACAGTTTGGCCTGTCTTATCTCAGATCTTTTTCTATGCATATGCTGCACCTACATTGTATGTGCATATATATATAACATTATGTATTTACGGTTTTTGAAATGGGGATTTGACTCTATGTCATACTCTGTAATGTGCTTCTTTCGCTCAACTGGGTACAGTCTACTACCAGCACTGGGAAGAAGACATGACTTCACTCCTGGCCTAGGCCCAGTTCCTCCTGAGCAGCTTCCTACCAGAGTAGTGCCAGGGCCTCCCAAAGGGAGCCTGCAGTGGTACCAGCAGAATTGGGGGGCTCCTTCCCTCCAGCTTCAGAAACATTCAGTGTGGTGGCGACTCAGGGTTTCTTTAAGGATCACCTAGTACTATTCAGTCAAGCCCTAGCGCCCAGGTTCACAGTTAGGAAGGTTGCTACCAATGTAAAGATGACTACCGGAAGCAAGCCCTAAAGGCTCCACAGATTTTGGTTTTGTATTGATGTGTGTGCATGTGTGTGCGTGTGCGTGTGTGTGTGAGTGTAGTGTGTATAGACAATGCACAGAAGCAGGAACATGGAGTCCTCCCTTCTCCTGTCACTTTTTCTTTGTGAACTAATGTGTGTGTGCAGAATTCTTCTCTGGTGGCAGCCATTTCTGCCTTCTTCTCCTCCCAAAAGACTTCACAGCTTCAGTAGGCCTGTACGTTGCATCACCAGCACTGATTACTGTCATTCAGCTGGCTACAAACCCAAGCCTCTCCACACGGCTGACACCACTAGCTCTTTCCAATAGAAAGCTCGGTCACAATCAATCTCAAAAACATCATACCAAGGGAAGGAAACTAGTCACAAAGGACTATATATTGTATGATTACACTTATATGAAATTTCAAGAAAATGCAAAACCACAGTGAGAAAATCTGAGTCAGGGATTGGAAGTGAGGATTGATTGCAAAGGGGCATGAAGGAACTTTTTTGAGGTGATGGAATGTTCTAAAACTGAATTGTAGTAACACTTGCACAATTGCATATATTTACTAAAACTCATCAAACTGTACATATGAAATAGGTGAATTTGTTGTATGTAAGTTATACCTAAATAAAGCAATTATGAAATATATAAACAAAAATAAAGCTCAGTGGTCTGGTGATCACAGCAGAGGAAGGCTGCCATCTGGAAGCCACTCAACCAACACATACACATGCACAAGGAGGAGGAAGGGGTCAACCCCACCCACAACATGCACATGTATGCGTGTATGCATCAGCGTTCTAAAGCAGGCAACATTGGGGAAAAAGACCCAGATTAGAAAGGTAGCACTGGTTTTGAATGGAGATGTCCTCTGTCCCACAGATCTGCACCAGTGATGTGGAATGTCTCATGAGCAGACTCCAGCATACCTTCAAGCAGGAAATGACTGGAGTTGGAGCCAGTCTGGAGAAAAGGTGGAAATTCTGTGGCTTTGAGGGCTTGAAACTGACCTGATTCCCTTTCCCTAACAACCTTGGATCCTGAAAATTAAATGTGTCTTGGACAAGCCTAGAAAGTGATTTGTATTTTCAATGGTTTTCAAGTGGAAATTGCTTTAAATTTGTCAATTCATTCCTGGAATATCTTTTGAGTTAAAACAAGGATCCTAGAGCAGCACCTCGAGCTACAGGCCCTAAAAGAAATTGACTCAAACCTCAAGTGCTGTAACTTCCTTTCTGTCAAATTGGTTGTCTTTTTTATTAATAGTATCGAGAAAGGCCTGAGGCTAAAGAGTATTTGAGGTGTTTTCGGTGTCTGTACTACTGTTGTAGACTTTGGTATTTTTTTAAACACTGTTAACTGAAATGTTTTGATGATTTGTATGTGATTTGTGTTTCGAAAGTTCCCTTCACGTTAATGTTACTACTGGTGAGAGGAATGAAAGGAGCACGAGGTACTCCATAACTGACATTGTCTTTCCAATCCCCAGTAGGCCAGTGAATGAAGAATACGTCAGTGTCTTCTAGAAGGTGCTTGACCAGGTTCACCTTTTAAAAGACAAAGCATGGTTTGTGGCTTTTTGCAAAATTACTGTGAACCAAAAGTTGACAAATGTTCCAAAGTTATTTTCTCTAATATATCAGATAAAAGGTTTATTTCAGAATTTTAAAAATGTCTATATGTATTTGCAGAAAGCAAGTGTCCAGTATGACTGGCATGTGTACGTGCTATTCAGAATCACCTTGTAAATAGTCTGCTTTTAAAGAAGGGCATGTTTAGTTTTCTATGAATTAAAACACACATGTGCACACACGCACATGTGCACATAAAACACACACACATTAGCAAAAGGGATTTATTTTAATATGCTTTCCTCCCTGGCCTTCTTACAAAGTCTGTTGGTCTCTTTTCTTCTGCTGTCAGCGTGTTGAATTGCAAACTGTGTACTGCTGTAAATAATATGTTTACTTCATGCTGAATGTTTGCAAAGGCTTGATATGCGTATTAATGGAAAATTCTCGGTTATGAATAAATAATGGACCAGGGTGTGTGAGGCCTCCTGCACATAGGTCAGCTCCACCTGGAGTGCCAATTTGCCAGGGACACCTCCGGTTCTGTGGTGCCCATCAGCAGATTGCAATGGCAGAATTTGCGTGGACCAGTCAGGAAGTCCTGCGTGATGGAAAAGAAAGGGAATGGATGGGGATTTGGGGCTAATATCCCGAGGCAGAGATGGTCTTTTCTTTTGTGGTGTTGGTGGTGCTTATAATAACACAAGCATGCCCTCCCTTGAGTCTTGATTCAAAATAAGAGAATGTACTGAGTAAGCAAAGCCAATGAAGAGTATTTCAGGAAAATACTTTGTAAATGAGATGTCAGTAGTGTTCAAAGTTGTATTTTTAAAAGATAAATATTCCTTTTTTATACCTCAGTTTGGTGTTCTGTTTTGAATTATTTGCTCGCGAAGTAATCCTTTCGTAAGTCATCTCAATTTCTTCCTTTGAGTTACCAGGATGTTGGAAAAGATGCTAAACCTTCTGCCTTGACAACTAGAAATTGAGTTCCATGGCAGCCCATTAATGCTGAAAGCTGGCTTCCCCCTTAAGCACCCAGCTGTGGCACCAGCAGGAAGCTAGGGTTATTTTTACACTGGCTTCCTCACTGAAGCATCTCTGTCATCAATGCTACAGAAGGCTTTGATTCATCAGTCTCATGGGTCCTGGAATGCCTTATTTTAATAATATCTAAAAATCAAGAGAAATTAGCCACTTATCAATTATTTCTTATTTAAACAAGTTAAATAAAATGAAATTTTAAAGCAACAGCTGCCATACCTGGGCCTCTTGCTCTCCTTCACTGCTTGTACTACATATGGTCTCTTCCTGTTATTCCTGTCAATTTAGTCCAGGTGTACTCCTCCCAGCCTGCTCGAAAACACAGTTGTGATGGTTACTTTTGTGTGTCAAGTTGGCTAGGCTATAGTGCTCAGTTGCTTGGCCAAACACCAGTCTAGATGTTGCTGTGAAGGTATTTTTGGGATGTGATTAACATTTAAACCAGTACAATTTGAGTAAAGAGATTGCCCTGCATAATGTGGGTAGGCCTCATCCAATCAGTTGAAGGCCTTAAGAGAAAACACTGAAGCACTCTAAGGAGAAAGGAATTGTGCCTCCAAATTGCCTTTGGACTCACGACTGAAGCATTAACACCTGCCAGAATTTCCAGACTGCTGGCCAGCCCTACAAATTTCAGACTTTCCAGCCTCCACAATCACATTAGCCAATTTCTTAAAATAAATTTCTCTCTCTGCAAAGGAAACCCTCATACACCGCTGGTGGGAATGCAAACTGGTGCAGCCACTATGGAAAACAGTATGGAGATTTCTCAAAAAATTAAAAATAGATCTACCATACGATCCAGCTATCCCACTACTGAGTAGTTATCCAAAGAACATGAAATCAACAATATGAAGAGATCTATGCACCCCTATGTTCATCGCAGCGTTATTCACAATAGCCAAGATGTGGAAGCAACCCAAGTGTCCATCAATGGATGAATGGATAAAGAAGATGTGGCATATAAAAACAGTGGACTACTACTCAGCCATGAAAAAGACAAAATCGTCCCATTTGCAACAACATGGATGGGCCTTGAGGGTATGATGTTAAGTGAAATAAGCCAGACAGAGAAGGACAAACACTGCATGATTTCACTCATATGTGGAAGGTTAATAAACACATGGATAAAGAGAACAGATTAGTGGTTATCAGAGGGGAAGGGGGTAGAGGAAGGGCGAAAGGGATAAAGGGGTACATATATATGGTGATGGATAAAGACTAGACGATTGGTGATGAGCACAATGCAGTCTATACAGAAACTGATAAATAATAAGATACACTTGAAATTACACAGTGTTATAAACCAATATGACCTCAATAAAATAATTGAAAAAATCTTTATATACACATATACATACATACATATATATGTATGTATATATCCCACTGTGTATACATATACATATGTATATACATTTATATGTATGTATGTATATATAGATCCCATTGGTTCTGTTTCTTTGAAGAATCTGAATACACTAATCCAGAGTTGTTATAATGTGTAAAAATAGAATATTTTTGCTTTATATTATGTAATCAAATTGCAGCAGATACCATCTCTCATAATCCTTTCCATTCACCATAGAAATCTACTAATGAAGCTATTTTTCCTTACACATGCTCAGTGCTATTTATTGTCCTGTTGTTCCTCCTGAATTTTGGAATATTACTGTTTTGTTATTTTTAGGAGATACAGTAGTTAGATTTTTCCAGATAATAATGAATAGAAGCATTCTTTTATTTTACAAATGGTTGTTTTATCTCCCTTCCTAGTCCTGTGACATCTCCAGTTCTGATTTTTTAATATTACCAACTTTCCTGTTAAATGTCTTCAGTGCAAATGAGAAAGTTAGTTTTCAGAGCAAATTAGACACATATCTGTTTTCAGGTTATATAGAGCTTTGTTTTTAATTTGACCCCAAAATATATGCTTTTCATGTAATACAGAATAAACTGTATTACATGAAAAGACAGGATAGATGTGCAAGACCTTTTGACTCAGCTGGTAGAACTGGGTGAGCCGTTGGACTCTTAGCTGTCTTGGACAGCCCATCGGATAGACCTAGATTCACTTTTCACCACAATTGCTACCATCTGCTGAGCACCCATCATGCTCTCATGATGCCCAAAGTCACTTCTTGCCTATATGTCTATAGGCAAGGTACATGGACACAATGATAGTTTCAATTGCCTTTTAGGTAAAATTAAGGAGAAAAAGTACCTACCTCAGAGAGTGGTAGTAAAGATTCAACAAGCTAGCTTCTGTAAATTGCCCAGCAAGTACCTGGCCCATAGTGAGTTCACAATACAGTTATGATTATGATTATGATTCAGTCAAAAGTAATTATAAGTCATGACCTTACCCTCATATTAGGAAAAATGTTTTTATATTCACACCTAGAATTGTGGAGCTACATCGTGTTGCTAGGCCTCAAGAAGGGAAATTCAGCTGTTCAAATGTGTTCCAAACTTTGACTCAGTCCCAGACACTCTGCCGGGCACTGTGGGATAGAAAAGGAGTAGGGTTTGGCCCTGCCCTCAAGGAGCTCTAGAGAACGGTAGGCTTTAACACGCTGAACTTAAATCCTTCACCCTTTAGCCAAGACCGTAAAAGCTCAGCATGAAAATATTCAATGTTGACCAACCACGAATGGTGTGGATAATGTGGTAATGAGAGCTTGCTCTTGAGATGTGAACTATTACATTCTGTGCCCCCAACCACCCCCATCCAGCTCCAGAGTGTAAATTCCATGGGAGTATGGTCCTCATTTGTTTTGTTCACTGCCATTTCCCCAAAACCTGGTGCATTGTAGGTGCTCAGTAAATATTTGTTCAATGAGTATTTTTGTAGCACTCTATACAAACTACATTCATATACACTAATAATAAAAGCTAACATTGATTAGTGATTCCTACTTACCAGTAATCATGTATGTATAGAATCATTCATTTTTACTACAACTGTGAAAAGTAGATAATATTATTCTGTGCTTCAGCTGAGACTCTGAGATGTAAACTAACCTTCCTAAGTTTCTAAGAGGCAGAGATGACAATTGAATCTTGGTCTGTCCAACTGCAAACTCAAAACTTTCTATGGCACCAATATTTTATTTAACCTTCATGTCAACCTAATTGGTCAGTATTATTATAAATCCCACATTGTTCATTCACGTGCCACTGTAGAGCACCTGACATGTGCAAGTCTTGGTCCTAGAAATTCTGAGAGGAAGAAAGCATAACCTCATCCCTCAAGAGTCTACACTGCTAAATGATACAGTGACATACAAGGTGCTGCAAGAGCGACATCAGGGAAGGCCTTACAAATATTAGGCAGCTTGAAATAGGGTAAGAGGAGAAAACAGGCTCAGAAAGTCTAAATTATTTGCCCGAGTTACA